AATGTTTGAAATAATTTTGTGATAAAATCGAAATGATCTGCAGAAACCATGGTGCGAATAGCAAAAATCCATGGTGCAAATAGCAGTTCCCTATATTTATACCCCCCGGGTCTTATTCGAGAAACAGGATGATAGGGATAGTGAATAATACCCGGATTTTAATCATGAGGGGTATTATTTTGGTGGATACTGTATGCAATGGTCAACGGTACATATTCTATTCCAGTGTTGGCCGATGATAAAGTTTTTTCGATATGACCTTGGTCATATAATCACATGACTTTTGGGTCATAAGTCATATCGGTCATATCAAATATTAGTAAAAAAATTTTTTTACACGGGTTTATGCCAATATTCCGAAGATACTAAATTCTGATACACTAAATCCTGAAAGATCAAAATCCCTGAAACATCACAATCCCGAAAGAACATATCATAATTATGAAAGGCCATAATCCCGGAAGGTTATAACCTTAAAAAATCACAATTGTTTTCCGGAATTATGATCTTTCAGGATTACATTCTTTCGGGATTGTGATGTTTCAGGATTATGAACTTTCAGGATGTTATACTCTCGGGATTTTGATATTTCAGGATTTAGTGTATCAGAATTTAGTATCTTCGGGATATTGTCACAAACCCGATTCTTATTATATTAAAAGGTCATAAAGTCATAACAACCTTCGTTATGACCAAATGACCTATGACAAGTCATAAAGGTCACATAGGTCATTTAAGGTCATCGGCCAACACTGTTCTTTTCTGGAGGTAACCGATTGTCAAAATAACGTCCGCGAGCGTTATTTCGCGTTTATACGGTACACGAATTGGTGCAAATATTAAAAAAAAAAAGTGTATTTAAAATAAATTACTTTTTGTTTGTATATATGTAGTTGATACACAGCTCTTCAAATTATCTAACCAAAGTTTTATCTCTAATTGTAACCTATAAATACCAGTTGTGATTTTTTTATTAAATTTTTAAGATATTTTATATTGTTCAGGTTAGTAAACGCGTTTTTCCTACAAATGACGGAAAATTTTTAATATAACTTTATTTTTGAAGGTGTTTACGAACCCGAATTATAGAAGGTCTACTAATACCTAAGTGTTTAACAATCAATTACTGTATTTGCCAGCGAAGATGCTTTAAAGTATCGTATTTCTGTATTCAATCAGATTATATACTAATATATCAGTCAGGGAAGACATTACACCAAGTGATAAATTATTATAATAAAAACACATAAATTTACTACAAACTTTAAGCTAAAAATTCTTTTAACCTACATATTAATTTATTTTTGAATTTTGAATTTAAAATAGAATAAAATCAAAACAAGATATACAAAATTTTTCTAAACTTCAAGCAAAAAAATATCTTAACTACAAGCCTAAATTTTATTTAAATTCTGTGAATTCATAAAATTTAATAAAAAAATTCATTAAAATTGACTTGATAGTTGCTGAGATATCTTTGCTCAAAGTTTTAAAAAAATTCAAAACATATATTAAGAGCCAAAATGTTTCTAAACTTTAAGTAAAGATATTTCAGCAATCATAAGATCAAATTTAATGTTTTTTTTTTATTTAAATTCTATAAATTCATAGAATTTAAATAAAAAAAGTTACCTTGTTTGTTGCCAAGATATCTTTGCTTAAAGTTTAGAAAAAATTTTAGTACAGCTTTCATTTTAATAGATGTTTTGAATTTTTTTAAAACTTTGAGTAAAGATATCTCAACAACTACCAAGTCAATTTCAATAATTCTTTTTTTTATTTAAATTATATGAATTTATAGAATTCAAAATAAAAAAAAAAGTTCATTAAATTTGGCCTTGTGGTTGCTAAGAAATCTTTGCTCGAAAATTTTGCATGGCTTGTTTTGACAGACGTTTTAATTTTTTTTAAACTTAAACGAAAACGTAAGTCAATTTTAATTATTATTATTTTATTTGAATTCTATAAATTCATAGAATTCAAATAAAAAAAAATTTATCGAATTTGGCCTTGTGGTTGTTAGGATATTTTCGCTCAAAATTTAAAGATAATTTTGCATAATTTATTTTATAGTCGTTTTAAATTTTTTTTAAACCTTTGAGCAAAGATATCTCAGCAATTACTAAGTCAAATTTAATAATTCTTTTTTTATTTAAATTCTATGTATTCATAGAATTCAAATAAAAAAAGTTTATTGAATATGGTTTTGTGGTTGCAGAGATATTTTTTAATCAGTATGGGGGTATGGTTATCAAGCCGACCGAGTCTATTTAAAAGTTTTATGTAATTAATTAAGTTTATATGGCCTAATATATAGTTTTTTACCCAAAGATATTGATTGATATAATAAATAATAATATGCAAATAGAAAGCGTGATATTACAGTATTAAATTATATGCTTATAAAGAGAAAAAAAAAAAGAGGAACAGACATTATCAATTGAACCTATGCCTTTTCCAACGTAAAAAGAAAACAACATTAAAACAAACATAACGCTTGCTTGATGTACATTAAACCTAATATCATTATTATTAATAATAATAAAATTAATATAATTCCTAATATCATTTCTAACATCATTTCTAAGAATATTAATTGCAAAACTTTTTCTACGCTTAAATTGAAACTCTTCAATTGCATCAACATAAATTCCACCTCGACTATTATAACTGTTTCGATTAGATTTATAATTTTCAAAAAAAAAATCACTATATTTAGACTCAAGCGTATAACTCAATCGTCTATAAGTCATAAATTTAATTGGCATAATATCGTCCTTTAATTGTCTGGATGTATAATGGAATGACCGGCATTTTTTTTTTTTTTTTTTTTTTTTTTTTTCTTCTTGTGATGATAATGTTGGTGGCATTTCCTGTTCTGACGAAGACTCATCCTCTTTTTTATTCTTTTCATTCTTTTTAATACAATGAAATATGTTAATATTTAAAATTTTATAAAATGGTAAATAATAAAATAGTTTCATTTTTTACCTTACTTTTAAAAAAATTTTGTTCTATAATCAATTCATCTTGAAGCTCTACTGATTAGAAACTTCCTAGAGAAAGGTTTGTTTATAAATTCTTTCATTTGCAATTTGACATGATAAAAAAGAATTAAAAGTTACCTTCTGATTGCTGAGATAGTTGATCTGTAGCAGTTATCTTTGGACTAGTAACTACTGCTTTCAAATGTTTCAATTGAAAATCATCTCTTTCGTAGACATCATTATCCTTACTAACAAGTGTAGAATCTGCTGATTCCGTATTCGATATTTCATTATCTTCCACTCCGTTTATTGACGAATTTTCATTTAATGGAGTTTGGGATTCTGTTGAACAAACATCATAATCCTCTTCATCATCAGCTTCTTTATTTTTTGTAATTCTAATATTTATTACATCAACATCAAATTCTTCTGGCACAGTGATTCTTAAATCAGAATATCTTGGTGGCATCAATTCAATTTTTAAACCTTCTGGTGCAACTGATACGTCAAATCCATTAGGATACATTATCTTTGAAGTTTTGATATCAGTTACTCCACCGTTAGAAATTTCCATAGCCAAATCGTATTGATAAGTTCTGACATTAATTTCTTCACCTATAATTAAACCACTGGTATTCTTTACATATGGTGGATGTCCCATTTTTTTCAATATATCGACAACTTTTGCGATACATATCGGTGGTTGCAAGAAGACACTTTTGATGATTGATGGAGGAATTGCTTCAAGTCTGATATCAATGTCAGTAATATAAATAATTTCTATGTACGTTGTTAATTCTTCATCAACTCTAGGACGTATTTGCCATCCAGCAATAGCTAAATTCGCTCGAACATGTTTTTTACTTTCAGGAATTAATGGATCAGCTACTGAAGTGCTAGCATGCCAAATTGTACCGGTTTCTGGATCACGTTCAATAATACAAACTGTTGCCAAGTCTCGTCGACTTTATAATTATCAATAAAATTATTAATATTTTAAAAAGTATATAAGGGAGCTGACAGAATAGAGCTCATATAGGCTCCCCTTCCCCCCTAAACCAATTACAAGTTCTAAAGTAATCAATTAACCTTTACATATTTTCATGCACCCTTGCATAATTATGCGGGTTTATGCACAAACATGCACGGTTATGCGTGATCATGCATGATCATGTGATGGATGCATAAAAATATGCAAGGGTTAGTTGGTTACTTTAGAACTTGTAATTGTTCTAGAGGTTTTCTGTCAGCTCCCTAATAAATATTTATACATAAATATGTAACGAAAACGATGTATCACCTGATCGGGAAGTTACGATTCATCGAGAGTTTGTTTAAAAATTCATTTTGTCCCAACCGTTCAATGTTTACACTTTCGTCAAATCGATCATCCCCTGTTTCAAAGATAAAGAAAGGTATAAATTATACAAAAAAAATGAATGTATATATTTTTTTTTTAAAAAAAAAAAAAAAAAATTCAACTTACAAAGTTTTCTCATCTCAAGTTCAGAAATGATCGATAGAATATCTTCTGGTTTATGTCTGCCAGTAATTTTAATATCACCACGCGTCATCGGTATAGAATTAGTAATTCCTTCTCTTGTGTAAATATCTACACCTTGCTCTTCTTTATAAAATTCCCAACCATCTAAATTACTTGCTAATGTTTTTAGTTTAGATAGTACATTGTTTGCAGAACCTTTATGACGATCCTTTTTTAATGATTGGCTTATCAAAGATTCTTCCAAAACCACGGATGGTGATACGAAAGATGGAGATGCAGGCGTGTGAGGCGAAGATGCGCGAGACGGAGATACGTGACTTGGAGATGCGTGAGGCGAAGATACGTGACTTGGAGATGCGTGAGGCGAATATACGTGAGTCGAAGATATGGGCAATATGGGCAAGGGCAATGCGGGCATTGGCGGTGGGTCAATAGGTGAAATTGTAGATGATTGTTTTGATGATGTTATAGACATTGATCTTGGAGAGGTTTTAACTTGAGATGAGATGTCTGGCGAAATTAATGGTAATAAATTCTTGTCGTTTATTTTTTTAGTTTTAGGTTTTTCATATAAACCATTACTATCTAATGGGATGAATTTAGGATCTTCAGGGATTCTTGAACCTTCCTTGAAAGTTATTTTACGTCTTGAAATCTTTGTCTCAATATCATCAATATTATTATTATTATTATATTTAGCACTAGAAAGTTTCGGTGAACGTATCGGTGAGCTAACACTAGAAAGTTTCGGTGAAAGTATTGGTGATCTAACACTAGAAATTTTCGGTGAAAGTATTGGTGAACTAACACTAGAAAGTTTCGGTGAATTAACAGAAGAAAGTTTCGGTGAAGTAACAGCAGAAAGTTTCGGCGAAGTAACAGCAGAAAATTTCGGTGAATCATTTGGGGGAGAATCTTGTGGAGTGGTACTTATCATTATTGGTTGATCATGCTTAACCAAATAATCTTCAATTCCACAAAGGACAAAAGACCTTCTAGACATAACTGTCGAGACAAGAAATTTTGGAGACCAACCATTAACATTTACTTGATTAATGTAGATAACTCTTGTCCTGGGTGGAGCAGCGGAAAGAGGTTCGAGAATCCAACCAGTTAATATCATTTCTGCACGGATTTTTCCGGAAACATGTGGGACCTTTGGATTATCAATGGAAGTTGCGGAAAAATAAATTTCGCCTGTTGGAGTACATTCTATCTTTTCCACTAATGACAAGTCCCTTGGTCTAAATACCAAATTTAATCACGTGAGTAAATTTTACAGTAAACAAATTGGAACAAAAACTTTGAAATAAAAAGTTACTTTGATCCAACTAATGCATGCATAACCATGTAAGTTGTACTTGTTGTATCATTTAAATTGTCAACAAGGTGACCTCCTTCGTACCTAGTAAAAAAATGTCGATACATTTCATAAATTAAAAAATTGAAAATATATATATATATATATAGATAAAACAAAATTATGAAATATACCAATCATCCCAAGGTTTTCTCATTCCAATAACAGTAAAAATTGCTTGTGGTGTATAACCCACTATTTCGTGTTCACCCATGTACACAGGAACTTTGTTATCCAATATAGTTCCCGGCTTGGTATAAACCACAGTACCCCTTTTGTTGGTCATAACCTTCTTCCATCCAGGTCTATTTGCAGTATATTTCAAAGCTTTTATTGCATCTTCAGCTTGCCGAATATGATATTCGGATGATTGCGATTGCTTATAGAAATTACCTCTTCTAGGAGGAGTGTTTGATACTAAACTTTCTTCGTTATAAGAGCTAGCAATAAAATTTTCATATTCTGAGTTCTGTTCCATTGTTTTTTTTTTTTACGAGTATACTTGGTTTGTTAAATTTCTTTTAATTAAGGAGACTTTAATTAACTTTAAAAAAAAAAACAAATGAGTCTTTCAAATTGTCTTTATTTGGGAATATACTTGAATTAAAAAAAAAATTTTTAATTTCTTAACGAATAAGACACCAAAAACGTGGGTAATTGTTTTTTTTTTTTTTTTTTTAAACAAGACAATGATATTATTTTGCAACAATTTTCATAATTATTTTGTAGATATCCTGGAAAGGCATGAATTAAAAATTCGTCTTTATATACTAATTTTTTTCGGGTAATATATTCATTTTAAATTGATACTTTTTAGTAAGGAACTGCTAAAGATCATCCGATTGAATATATGATTAATGAATAACTAAATTAACTAAATTTATTTATAAACGCGCGAAAGTCTCTTTGAAGATAATCATATGTTTACATGCGAAAATTACTTATATGAATGAAAGCCTTTATCAATAAATAAGTAAGTTTTTTAATTTATACTATATACGTATATATAAATTACGACCCTTGAAGATTCGTGACATATCAGCATCTTCACAAAATAACATAATATATATATTTTTTATTTTAATCTTAAAACTTATTATATTCGGCTTCACGTGATTTACAACAATTTAAGGTGTGATCGATCGGATCGGCGCCTGAGAAAAAAAGACGGTTTTTAACCCCAGGTTTTTTTTCAACTTAAATAATAATAATTATATCTCATTATTCAATGAAAGGATCCTTAACTAATTCTACCCAAGTCAATTGTTCTGGTTGGTCAATTAAAAGATTTACAGTCAGCCCACCACAAGTGCCTTTCCAAAATGCACGCGCCAGGTATACCCTTTCTAAATGCACACTAGATTTCATTCCCAAGTTTATAGAACTCCTAATAGAATGCCCTTTATAAATGCATATCTTCTCTAAATGTGTATTATATTCCTAAGGGGGGTGCTTACGAAAGATCGACTTATATACTAGCAATATCGTAGATCATACATGAAATAAAATATTTTTATTTTTATTTTGAAGAAGACGACTAGACTTTTCTTTGTTAGTAGTCTACATTAGCCAGTTTGATATACAACCCAATCAAGTTCTTTGAAACCTGAGTTGTAAAATTAGCCACGTATGATCATCACATGAACCACTTTTATATTATATAATAATAAAACGCAAATTTTAATCTACCGCTACGTAACGAATTTCACTTTGTTCTATTATAATTAGTCAATGTTTTCGTGATTGAAATTACACCTGTACTTATTTATACCTGCTGGAAAAACTAATTTATAAAAGATTAATTAAACAAGTAATCTTAACGTTAATATTTTGCAAATATATTATCTATAACTATAAGAATATATACTATGTTTAAACAAAAGATTATTAACAAAGTTTTCGAGAGATATACGTAGCCGGGCCCCCAAAAGTGCCAGTGATGTAATTACAAACATTAATCACGTATACTGTATTATGCATATTATTACCTGATTGGTGGAAATGATTTACGTCACTGGCACTTTTGGGGTCGCCCTGGCTATATCTTTTTGAGATATTAATTTGGGAACAAATTCAAACTATAATAATTTGGGATTTGGGTAGCAAGTATACTTGTACTGTTTATGCCGAATATTTCGTGTTCTACTTCAAAGCATTAAGTTGATCGGCAGACTTTCAACGGATGTTTCGTTAGGGACTATCAAACTGTCCATCGTAAATCTGAAATATATTATAAAGATCCGAAAGTAATATATATATTAAAAAGGGTATATGCTAAGCTAGTAGTTTATAAGTTGATATTTATTAACCACATCTCCCACAGAAAATATTTTGGTCGCTATACACAACTCACTCGTTATAGTGAATTCTCGTATAGCTAAATTCTTGGTAAAGATTCGACTTAGTGAAAATTTTTGAATTATCGAATTACTAAACTTCGACTCGACAGTGAAGTACATGTATGGAGCATTTTCTCGATGTAATCTATGGTGAAGATTTTGTTATCAGTCTGATGACTTCACTGTAACGAGAATGAGGTATAGTTTTGTTGTCTACACAAACATAATTATCAAATTTGACTATGGAAACCATTTGCATCATAAAACTATTGTAGCGTCAGTGACCTCATATACAGCAGCACCGTATTATGAAATCTATACAAAGCTTATTCAATCTTATCTTTCTAACCTTTGTAATTACATGATAGGAGTATGCCTTTTGGCTAGAAGAAACCTTGTCCCGAGCCATGCTAATAAATATTTAAAATATAGTGCTTTACAGAAACTTGCAAAAAGTTGTATTTGTTTTTATAATAAAGAAATAATATTTTAAAACCGTTATAAAATGCTTTTAAAAATAATCGGTATAAAAACGGGTTATGATATTTTTTCTCTTCATAATGGGCTTATAACTAGTAATTGTAATGTCATAATAATGTTTTTTGCAAAAAAATTTTTTAAAATTTTCGAAAAACATTACAATTACTAGTTATAAACCCATTATGAAGAGAAAAAAATATCATAAACCGTTTTTATACCGATTATTTTTAAAAACATTTTTATACCATTTTTAAAATATTATTTCTTTATTATAAAAGCAAATACAACTTTTTGCAAGTTTCTGTAAAGAATAATGCGTTTTTTTTTACCGTTTAGGTTATTGAATTTATAATAGATAGATATGCAGTTGGACATACATTAATTCACAACTTATATATAATTATATATATATAATAAATTATAAGCATTATACATATGTAAAACAGCATAATTTAGCTTTTGGCAATTTTATTTTAATTATTTGTATTACGTACAAGTGTTAACATTGACTATATGATTATGATATGTTTGCTATTGTTTCAGATATTTAAATAGTTAATACTAAATCAAGAAAAGCATCGGATCCCGATTAGGACCCATTAATGAACCAAATTCTGATCCATAATTTGTAATTCTGATGAATCCAGATCCGCATAGAGGATCAAGTTCACGAATCGAACATCACTAGTATTTTTTTTTTAATTTAAGATTAAAATTCCGATGGTTTTTATCTTTTGTATGATAATCAATCATATACATTATATGCACTTTCTTTATTTGAGTAACGTTAAAAAAAACATTATGAATTTCTTTATATTGCAAATAGTAATAAGAAGTTATAAAGTATCTGATGTTTCGTTGTTTGTTCTAGGGTATCGATCCGTAATCCGACCATCTGAATTGATCCTTAAATATAGACAAATTTAAATATCCAGATCAGAGATTTTTATTCGGATTTGTCAAAGAATTTAAATAACGGACATAAGGATGTTCTCAAAGCTAGCTTTATATCTAATCTGACACGGATTCAATCCGGATTTAATAGAATCCGGATGGCCTGTTAAAGATAGGATCGAATCCCTAGTTTGTTCCCATCCATAAACCATTTATCTATTCGTCTAAAATAATGTATGGATAGCGATGGGATTTTCTAATTTCAATTGTTAACAGAGAAATTGTTAAATTAATTAAAAATAATGCAGTTTAATAAAAACTCTAATGTATTTAGAGTGATGGCGCATTCGATGATTTTTAGGAAAAATATGCAATATTAAGATTTATAATAAAAATCATTGGTTGTAACATCTTCGATAAAAAATCTTCTATCTATATACATAGGATAATTCAATTATTAATTGCACGTATTAATTTTTAATCGTTAATAATTACCGTAAAAGTTCATATACAAGATTCCCAAAATAGTAGACCCGCCATGAATTAGACCCGGGTGCGAACCACAGAATCTTTATTAATTAAATGCTGTTTTTTCAAATAGTTAGAATGCCTATTATAAATGCAAAGTGTGTATGCGCTTTAAATTTTATCTTTTCATGATGTAATCTCTGGGCGGGTACTAGACCCCGGGTCTGCTAGAGTTTAAAAATTAGTGGAATGAAACAGACCCGGGTCTTGTATATGAACTTTTACGGCAATAGCTATAGATTCTCATCGCTAATTCGGCTATTACAAGTTCTAAAGTAATCGACAATATGAGTCATTTGACAATTACAAGTTCTAAGATAATCATCAACTTCTCTAATTTATATTGTTGATTATCTTAGAACTCGTAATCCCTAATACATCTGATAATTCGTTGAATTTCTGGCAGGGCATAAATATCTATTGATTTAGGACCGAAAAGACGGACCGACCGGACTAATAACCATTATAAAATCGGTCTTATAGGGACTGGGACTGACCAGGACGGACCGATCCATCCCTAATATATAGCATGGATGGCGAATTGGACCTCTACACCAACACAATCGGTATATTATATACAGTAAATGTTATAATTACGACTTATAGGATCTCATGAATATATGAGTTTAAACACAGAAAATTTTTTTTTGTGGATTCTATATTGAAGATCGATATGTTAATGAAATTCTGTTAGAAACAAGATCATATGCTGCAAAAAATTAGATCTTGCAATTAGTTACAAGAAAAAAATGAATAGCTATATATATAAAAAATATTAATAAAGAATATTTAAAACTAATTTTAATGTTTACTTATTTGAGCAAAAACTATTTGATACGTATAAGTTATTATATGTTATGTGCCGGAATGAAATTATTGTAGATTTAATCCATGTTGATAAACATATCGGCAGGAATTGGATTTACATGGGTTTTTTAAAACGAGCCCTAAATGTAAACTTTTTATTACGCATATATATATAAAAACAATTTAAGGAGTAATTAACAATAACGATACAAAATTAAATTTTAATTTTATCACTATTGTTAATACTCATTTTTATATACATACACGTAATAAAAAGTTTACATTTAGGGCTCGTTTTAAAAAACTCATGTAAACCCAATTCCGATATGAGCAACTTATAATACTATATAATTGAGTTGATTTTAAATTCGATACTGCAATAAAACATGATATACTAAGATAAAATACAAATCTTTTTGTTATTTCTTTTTTTATTTCACTTTTTCATTCTTTGCAACTCTTTCTACCTGAAGACCGAATACCAAGGTTATCTATTTTTGCTCCGTAATGTATTCAAAGTCCAAATATTTTAGTAATGAGTCGGCAAGTAGGCAACATAAACCTTACGTTAAGACTTTTAATACATTTGCAATACGTGATCTTAAAACACAACTTGTTAAATTTGACTCCACCATATTTGTGTTCATTGGGTCTTGACAAGTTTCAGAGTTGGATAATATTCTTTAAATGCTCATAGGTATCGAAAAGCATGTAATCCTCTTCACAAGTAGGTAATATTAAATGTAATTGCAAAATGCATGAGGCAGTAAATGTTAAAATGTAGCCATCCCACTAATCATAGATGTCATGCTTTTAAATTTAATTAATTTGCAATGCACTGTGTTATGAATAAATCTTATATTAAAGCGACTTAAATTCCAAAACAACGTACTCAAAGAAATAATTTTGAATACACATTTTAGAATCTATGTTTACAATAATTCCATTCCGACGTACGATTTAAATAAGCCGATGCAAGAAATAATATTCAGCATCATATTATATCGTCTAGAATTGAACTCTCCAGATAGTTGCACAGTGAATTAGCGTTTTTTACAGAGCGTTACATTCTCAAAAAGTAAAGGCAATTGATTTACATTAGCCAATAATACGGAACTGATAGATTCACATGATTGTTGTACGAAAGACCAGTTTTTTAATTTTGCTATCTCCGTCTCGATATTTCATAATTCACGTTTTGGGCTTTGGAATCGAATCTATTGTTCAAATTTCTACGAGTTACGCTCTAGGCCTTGAAATTTCTTTATTAAATTCACTACTGCACTACCAGTCACGTTTTGAGTCTTTCAAATTCTTTGTATCATGGATAGTTATCCTCCTGAATTTATTCTTCACCATGTACCTTTGATGATAGTTCTTGGTTTAGGTACAGCAAAAGATCTCGCTGAGCAAACTACTGTACCTTCACCTACTTCTTCCAAGTCAGCACATTCACGGCAAAGCTCGATAAGTACCAACTCAATTTCTACAAGGCAGCAAATATCAAGGAATTTGCTTACTCAACTAACAGCAAAAAGCCAGTCTGGAGTTTGGGAGTTCGGGAAAAGCGCTGGTACCGCGTTTCGCGTAGTGGCAGTAGACAAGGTATGGGCTTAAAACACGTTCATTAGTCAATTTTTATCAATAAATTTAGGTTTTTGTAAAATATATAATTTTGCGAATCGGTTGTGCCGATATTTCAGAGTTATGTGAATTCTTTTCGCCATTCGATTGAACCAATGATGAATAAACTTTAAATTTTTATATTGTAAAAATCCAAATCAGATTGTCTAAAATGATAAATTCTTTTAACTATATAGAATTTTCAATTTCCTCCTCGAAAACCTATTATGCGACCCCAACAACCTTCGCATCACTCAGCCACGAATATTCCACATTCATCTTTTTCACCTCTTACACCAGGCTCGCCCGTCTATCCTGACGGTTTAATTCCTCCAATATGGGTTCACAAACATCGTGAATTATTACCGAGTGTTGTTGTGGGATTTTATGATTTAGAGCATCGATCTATGAGTGGGTCAATAAAAGAAAAAGACGAATCTTCACCAGAACTGTTGGGATCGGCAGAGCCAAATTTGGCATTGGAAATCAATGAGAAGAGGTGGTATTAGCTTATATTAAATTAATAAAGTAGAAAATATTGAGTCATATTTTTTAACATCAATTCATATTAATAGGAAATATCTCCATGAAAGAGGCATTAGATTTGCTGCTGTAATAATACTCAATGCACAACATTCAGGTATACTACCATATATTGTGTTCCTTTTTATAATATCATCAGTGTAATTCATCTAGTTGTATGTTTTTATAATTAGAGGATCCAACAGTAGAAGAAAGATTGGTGTATATTCGAAAAGTAAGTGGTCTAGACGCAAGAAATTGCTTTTTTGCTCTGTCACCGGAAAGAGATATTTCAGAGTTCGTGACAACGTATGTCCAGGTCAGATTTTATTATTTTTTGAAGGTTAATTCAAATTTCATTTTTTCAACAAAGGATTAACGAGCTTGTAAATTTGATAAGTTTGCAAAAAGCACTTTACGAACATAGCTTAAATTATTATCGTGAACACGGTAAACGTATTAAAAGAAAACGGAATAGATTACCTTCTCCTGCCACTGCTGGTTACATCCGTCCATCATCAGATTACCATTCATCAGCACCTGCTCCTTTAAGTATCCAAGGATGGATGTTTCGTTATGATTACAAAATGGCTACCTTTACCGAATTTCGGCAAGATATAGATGCGTCCATCCAGTGAGCTCTCATTTTATATAATTGTATACTCTTATTTGTATTATTAAAATTTCACGATTATAGTTTTTCTCATATAGTCATTATGAATCAGCTTATAACCTTCTTGTGGACTTTTTTGCACCTCAATCAGCAATTACACCAGGAGCCCCTGGTTTACAAATACGTAGTAAACGATGGGATGAAGCCAGGATTTTGGCTGATTGCATAAATTTAAAAGTATGTTCGCCTTTGCTCTGAGAATAAATGCATCTCTGCTTATTTTTAAGTATTAACACATTATAATAGATTTGCAAGATGAACCTATACATTGATGCACCCTCTGCTGCGTTGGCTCAATTAAACAAACACATTACAACCTTTAAACGATTGTGCAATGCGTTAGAAATTGGCGATGATACGTTTGAATATTGGATGTGGTTGTCCAACCAGTATCGAGTTTTTGGCGATATATTGGAAATAGCCACCAGATCTGGGTTTATCATACCTGATCCAACTACAGTATTTCATACCACGTCATCAGCGGACTATCGATTTGGTAGCACCTCAAATAGTCCTATGGCAGGTTCTGGTGTTAATCCGACAATGGTTCTTCAACACCCCGGGTTTTATTATCATTTGGCTGCGCAATGTAATTCTGTGAGGAGAAAAAAGTTTTTGGCTGTGGAAAAGGTTAATATGAGTATATTAGCTAACAATAAAATCTGGGTTATATATTAACTTGTAATCTCGAAATTTTTAAAAATCTATCTATTTTTTATAGATTGTACAAGCAAGCGGTGATGCCTTGAAGTTTCCAACATCCGTCCTTGAAGCAGAAAGGAGTGTTGATCATTCAACATTGACAATAGAATTACTTACAAAGAGCTATGAACAATTCAAAAAACATAAGGGAGGGCGTATGACACTTTATTTGGCTTCTGAAATTGCCGGAGCTTATTTTGAAGCAAAAAAATATGATATGGCATTAAAGTAATGTTAGTCGTATATTTTTTAAGTACTTTGCATTTATATTATTGCATCAATTAACTAATGGAATATACGCGTTTACTCAGGTTTTATGAGCGCATAGCCAAAAAATACCGCAAGGAAGATTGGCACACAATCCTAGAGTCAATTTTGAATTGGTCTTTAAAGTGTGCAAAAGAATCAGGCACTTGGGACAATGTTGTTGAATATTTAATTGAGCTTTTGTCTTACCGTAAGTTTGCTATATGAATTTTTTTATCTTGTGAATCTCGGATTTCGTATTAATTATTGTATTATCATAATAGGATTTCATATGAGTGAACAAAAAAGGATAGAAATTCAAACCAAATTGATGAATGTAATATTTAAGGTAGATTTATTTATTTATTTATTATTATTGTTTTTTGTGATCTTATATTTATTTCCCTCTAATGAAATTTAGACCGAAATTTCAAGCTTGGTCAGCTTTCGACAAGTTGTAATAGATATGAATGAAATAAATTCATTTTGTATCCTTTGTTCGCCGTTTAATCGTTAATTATATTTGAAGATTTCAAAATTCTAGACCTTAACGAATTGCCTTTGGATACAGTAACGTGTTATGTGCAATTCAAAGAACCCGCAACATTTGTTGCAACTCCTACATCATTTCAAATTACTTTTATAACACAATCGGAAACACCACCGTTACCCTTACAGTTCACATATATCCGACTATCTTTTACCGATGCAAATTTTAACCATTACTTTACCCATAACTCGAATAATGAATCTGGTGATACAAAATTACAATGGGTGAATTGCAAGGAATGTCTACGAGAAGAAGTGGATGGTGAAGGCTATGTATGGGTCAAGAGTGTTGATTTGACTTTTCGCAAAGATTCAACAAAAGTTTTTGAAGGCCTTCTTATTCCAAAAGACAGTGGGGATCTCCAAGTAATGAATGATATTATTTTTCAATATTGTAATCCAAATAAGAGACGTTATTGATATATTTTACGTGTTCATACATCTAGCTTCAAATTGTGACGTTGGGGTTCTTGTCAGAAAGTTGGAAAATCGAGCTCCGATTTGATGTAAATGCGTTACAAGAGCCCTTGAAGCGTAAATGGTTGCAATTCGAAGCAATTTCTGATGGTGAACAAGGTTTGTTAGTGATATATGATATAATTACATTAAAATGGTATATTCTCAAAATGATACAAAATTAAACTTTCTATCTGGGTTGCATGCTACCCTTTAGTCGAAAAACCATTTTTCATAAATTTGGAAGGGACCGGTGACCGTTCTTTGATAAAGTATTTTTTTATAATTTCTGTATGGAAAACAAGATGAAACCTTTCAACTTATAGAGTACTTTTATTTAGGATAACGCAAAAACAAGCCAAGCTTGATATAAAGGTCAATCACTCAGCACCTGCTTTATTGGATGAACACTATCCAATACAGCTCACTATATTAAATTTAGAATCTGAAGATATCAAGGCAATTTTGAAGGCGGAACTTATTTCAGATTCGCAAGGTACATATATTACTGGCATTGCTGGCTTATATTATTGCTTTTTCTTTAGGACTTTCTAATCGAATTGCTTATCAATACAGAATCTGAAGATGTTATTTTTGATTCTAATTTAAATACGACAAATCATCTAAAGGAAACTGATCTTGGAGTGATTTCTTCCAATGGATCATGTGTCAAAACCATATATATTATTGGAAAAAAATCCACCAATTTGCGGACTCTTCGTCTTACTGTGAGTGAACGATTTGTAATATTCATTATAATATTAATTAAGATTTACCTTTTTCTATTCACACATTTCTACTCGAAATTTAGATATTATACTCAACTTCTTCTTTAATACCTTCAACACCAACACCAATCCAAAATTGGATTGAGAAAAGAGAAGACATCAGAATACCGTTTATAGCGCCTTTTTCTGTCTCCTTTAACATTTATCCTCAAGAAGAGTTTGGTAACGTACGAGAAACTTCCTCATTAGATCGAATAGAACGGCATTTTATGGTCGCCAAAATTGCTAGCATTGGACCGTGGGATATTTGTGTGTCTGGAATAGATTTGATTTTGGTGAGACATAAATTAAATATGATCGTAATGCTTAGTTTTACTTTTATTATAATGTTTTACGATATGTTTTTCTATATGTTTTGTAGTTGGATCAAGCAAACGCTCAAACCAAGATTGAGATCATTTCATCTTCAATTGAATTAGATAGTGAATCTTTAGAACAAGGTAGTTTAATAAAATCCATGCATTTATTTTTAATTTAGTTAACTTATGAGTTCTTTCTACAGTATGGCGTCAAGGATATATATTTAATGTTAATTATTTATTGGAGCTGACAATTTTGAACGATGCATCCTCAAGCAAAAATGTAGACATAGGATTGCTTGACATTCAATGGAGGAGGTAAAAAAAAGAAATTATTATTAATATTAATTGACATTTATAAATATATATTGAAGCAACTAAAATTTTTATATTATTTTTAGGAATCAATCTTTTGGAAACACTTCCGTTCCGTTTACAGAAACAACAATGATGGTACCACAGCTTCAAAGACATGATTCAGAGCTATCTGTCATATTGGGTAACATTAATGTTCTTCATTATCAATATAATGAAATATATAATATTTAATTTGCATTTACACATTTAATTAGACATACCGCCAAATCCTATTGTTGGACAAATTTTTACACTTACATTTAAGATCATCAATTGGACATCTGCACCAGTTCGAATCCACGTAACGGTGGAAGTAAATGATGCTTTTGTATTTTCGGGATACAAACAAACATATTTTATTGTGTCACCGTTATCAACATATTATTTCAAGGCTAATTGTTTCCCTTTAGCACCTGGAAAAGTTAAATTACCAAGAGTAAAAATCATGAAAGCCGGAGATAATGGAGTAGCTGAACAAGAAGTTTTTATTGCTGTACCTGGATTTAAGGAACCTGTTGAAGATGAATGGTATATGGTGTTTATTAAACCTAAAAAAGAAATAAATGAGTAACATTAAAACCCTGAACCTGAACAATTGTTGCTTCAACTTCATTATTCGTTAAAGAATAAATTATCCACACAAGTATTTATTACATGATTGTTTATATGAATTTGATTGATTAAATTTGGTGGTCTATCGATTTTTTAATGCTATGGTAAATCAATTTCGTATAAGCTACTTTTTAGAGAATCAAAAATCGGGAAATTATAACCACAAATTTTGGTGTACACACTTATCATGAATGCGATCTTAATATATATCATTTACAAACAGAATAAATAATAAAAATAAATTTCTATATATATATTGTATATATATAGTTATAATTATAAACATTTATTAGGACTTAAGAGCGTGTTAACAGTTTTCATAATACAGTATAATTCCTAATTTTAAATTTTGCATTTTTATTATTTTTATTGCTAAAAAAAATAATAGAATTTGTATGTGGTGCTTTAAGTAAAATGCTCTAAACCTTATTTAAAAATTAATTTAGCAAATATTTTTATTAATATTTTTGGAGATTGATATTTGTACAGTATTTAGAAATGTTAATAGTTTTGAGATATCTTTGATATAGATTATAACTAGATTTTGGCTGATTTTAATCTAACTTGCTAAAAACCAAATTTTATTTTATTATGTAGAGGTTCAAGCTAATGATAGTCAGACGCAAATTATGGATACCTGCACAGCTGTAAGAGCAAATCCTAAAATGGTGAGCAACCTTGTAAAAGACAAAAACCCCTTCTCTGACAACAATACATCCTATTCTTCTAAGAAAACTTGTTATAACAAATTTTTCAAAAAACACAATCTCTCATTACTTAACTTTAATCAAATTTTTAAATCTTTTTTACATCTTTTAAAACAATCTTTTTACAAACTTTATAAAATATCTCTTAATATATACAGTATATACTTGATATATATATATATATATATTAATGACCAACTTCTTATAAACTATATAGTTATACAGTATTATTATATCAATTTCTAGTACTGTATATAGGTGTCTATAGTAAAGAGCATGTCATTTATTATGTGATATTTTTTACTTAGTAGCCTTCTTTATCCATATATACTTTATCTAATTTGATTGGTTAATATCATATATAGACACAATCACTATCTTTAACTATATATTTATAATAAAAATCACGTGATAAATATCATGCTTCTAACTAGATGAGTTACTATATATTTTTTATTTACAGATATATAGTATCAAATATAGTAATAGTATTTGCATATATAACTATTATCTTATTAATAAAATATAGCATAACCACTTGAAATATAAATATATATATATATATATAATATTTTTAGAGCTTTAGATATTTTATAATGATAAATTAAATTGGCAATTTTATTAATCAATAAACAGATAAGTATATACTAAATATACTATATATAGTAGTGCAGATAAATATATTGCATTATACATATATGTAAAATGAAACAAAATTTTATTTAAAAACTTATGATCTTATAATTCTAACTCTAATAGCTAATATAAAAAAACCACATAGAGCCTAACTCTAATCTTAAAAAGGAAAATTACGTTTACCTATTATAAAAAATAGCTATATCGATGCAGTGTCTACTCTAACCTTAATCTTAAAAAAGACTTCAAAAGTCTTACACATGTCTTTTTTAAGTAAAACATATATAATTTCTAGCAAAATTGGCTACTACTAATTTAATTACTTAAACTACAATAAAAGAATTGTATAAATAAATAATTGGATATAGAAAGACTATAGTATTAAAAAACGATACTTATCTGACACAAGTATTGCTTCTTATCTATAATGCTTATTACTTAAAAAAGATAAAAAAAATTAGTAGTAAGCTATGAAAATTGCAACTAATAGTCGCTAGTTTGAAAGCTTGTTATAAACAATACAATAATACATAGTTCATAATAAATATGCTATGAATTATACTTTTTTGCTATGCTGTTTACATATATGCCTAAACTTGTTATTACTAATTCAAATCAACAATCATAATTCAAAGTGCACTATGAAGCTTATACTTATTGCTATTTACATATATGTGTATTATGCCCATTTCACTACAAATATTGCATACATATTTTCTCTTTTAATCTTCTCTATTATTAGATATATCTGCAACCTAATTACAATTAAAATTAATCTTTGAAAAAGGTATTCTTAAATTTGGATCCTGAGGGTTAATCACACTTTGATTATATTCCGATACTTGATGACTATTAATTTCAGAAGAACTTTTTAATCTTTTAGTTGGTAATTGTCTATGATGCTTTACAACTAAAGGATTCATTATGACTATTTGTTTGAATTAATTAGAACAAACATTTTCATTGTTAAAATTTTCATAGATGAATACTTTCTAATTAATAAAGTAATTAATTATATGAATAAGCTCTTCCTCACGCATTTAAAAAATCTGTGCTAGGTTATGTATATTGCAGATCATCGTATTTAACATATACAAAATTTTTAAAGTTTATTAACATTATATTAGCATTTCATATAAGGTTAAAAACTAAGTAATATATAGTAAAATTGTACAAGAAAAACTTTTTATTAGGAGGTGTGGTGACTTAGTGAAGTGGTCTAGTTGTCACCCTCACCAAACGTTATGAGAAGATCCCATGTTCAAATCCCAGGGACGGCG